ATTTGTCATAATTGTGATGATTATGGCTTACAGCTCATGAAAAACCCCAAATCCACAATCTCAGAAAATTAGAATATTGTGAAAAGGTGCAATATTCTAGGCTCAAAGTGTCCCACTCTAATCAGCTAATTAAGCCAGAACACCTGCAAAGGGTTCCTGAGCCTTTAAATGGTCTCTCAGTCTGGTTCAGTAGGAATCACAATCATGGGAAAGACTGCTGACCTGACAGTTGTTCAGAAAACCATCATTGACACCCTCCATATGGAGGGAAAGCCTCAAAAGGTAATTGCAAAAGAAGTTGGATGTTCCCAAAGTGCTGTATCAAAGCACATTAATAGAAAGTTATGTGGAAGGGAAAAGTGTGGAAGAAAAAGGTACACAAGCAGCAGGGATGACCGCAGCCTGGAGAGGATTGTCAGGAAAAGGCCATTCAAAAGTGTTGGGGACTTTCACAAGGAGTGGACTGAGGCTGGAGTCAGTGCATCAAGAGCCACCACACACAGACGGATCCTGGATATGGGCTTCAAATGTCATATTCCTCTTGACAGGCCGCTCCTGAACAACAAACGTCAGAAGAGTCTTACCTGGGCTAAAGAAAAACAGACCTGGTCTGTTGCTCAGTGGTCCAAAGTCCTGTTTTTTGATTAGAGCAACTTTTGCATCTCATTTGGAAACCAAGGACCCAGAGTATGGAGGAAGAATGGAGAGGCACACACTGCAAGATGCTTGAAGTCCAGTGTGAAGTTTCCACAGTCTGTGTTGATTTGGGGAGCCATGTCACCTGCTGGTGTTGGTCCACTGTGCTTCATTAAGTCCAGGGTCAACGTAGCCGTCTACCAGGAGATTTTGGAGCACTTCATGCTTCCTTCCGCACATGAGCTTTATGGGGATGCTGACTCCATTTTCCAGCAGGACTTGGCACCTGCCCACACTGCCACAAGCACCAAAACCTGGTTCAATGACCGTGGGATTACTGTGCTTGATTGGCCAGCAAACTCGCCTTACCTGAACCCCATAAAGAATTTATGGGGCATTGCCAAGAGAAAGATGAGAGACATGAAACCGAACAATGCAGAAGAGCTGAAGGCCGCTATTGAAGCATCCTGGTTTTCCATAACACCTCAGCAGTGCCACATGCTTATAGCTTCCATGCCACACCGCATTGAGGCAGTAATTGCTGCAAAAGGGGCCCAAACCAAGTACTGAGTACGTATGCATGCCTATACTTTTCAGAGGTCCGATATTGTTCTATGTACAATCCTTGTTTTATTGATTGCATGTAATATTCTAATTTTCTGAGATTGTGGATTTGGGGTTTTCATGAGCTGTAAGCCATAATCATCACAATTATGCCAATAACCATGGCTTGAACTATCTTGCTTTGCATGTAATGAGTCTATCTGATATATTAGTTTCACCTTTTAAGTTGCATTACTGAAATAAATGAACTTTTGCATGATATTCTAATTTTTCGAGTTTCACCTGTATTTACAATGACCATCTGATTTATTATATTTTTTTAATTTTCCTTCATGCCATCCCTACTTTTTATTGGAGCCTTGCTCTGCTCTCCTGCCTGGTGTCAATTTTTAAAAGGAAAGCAGAGGGACTGGCAGGAACACCAGGGATTTCACACAAAAGAAGCAACACAAAGAGAACAGGATACTTTTTCATACATGTACATAGTACAGAAGGCACATATCAGGCATATGAAATGTTGTGTTTACATATTCTAACATTAAAAGCAGCTGACAAAATATTTGTCAGCACAAACCTTTGTGTTTCCAGACGATGCTGGGCTGAGAAACAAATTTCTCCACCCTTATGCAGCCAAGTTTAGGCAAACCCAACAATGTACTGGATGCTGAATGAGTGACCTATCAGAAGACCAGTGCATTAAGTGAAAACAGCATCTTTGCTTATGTAAAAAGCAAGTTTGAGACAGCAAATATCTGCATAACTGCTTCGGCAAGGCTCCAGGCAGCTTTTCTTTATAAGAGTTTTCAGCAAGAGACATGTACTGACAGTGTATATTGTTAGCTACCCAATGCTTTTAGTATTGTTATTTTACTTTATCCTCAGCTACCTGCTGCTGTTAGCTTTGTATTTTACCCATAAATTCACTTTAAAACAAAGGGCCAACTGTGCTTAAAGCGGCAGTAAACCACGTCCATTAAACAAAAAAAAAAAAAACCCTCTTCAAAGTAAAGACACAATGTGCTAGTATGCATTGCATACTAACACACTATGAAGGACTTGCCTTAAAATGAAGCCCTCCAGCAGCATGCTGTCACTACTGTAGAGGCTTCCATCTTCACCCTTCCGGGTTCGCGAGCTCCGGCCATCTGACTGGCTGGGCCACGATGACATTACTCCTGTGCACGCGAGTCTCGGGGCACGGCAGTGCTCTTAAGGAACGGCACGGGTATGCCGTTCCTTAAGAGCACTGCCAGCTGCGGAAAAAAAAAAAAAAAAACCTGGGGGTTTACTACACTTTAATATTTTCAATTTTTAGCCAGTCAAAAAAAGGTCACAAATCCATACAGGTTTCTTCTGTCAGAAAAATTACTTTCAAATGAATCTCAGTGATATTTGGACCAGATACATTTATGTTACATTACATAGAGATAGGCTACTCAAGAAGATCCAAATCATGTCATATCTGCACAGTAGTGAAACTAGGAGTTCCAAGAAAGGCTGTGACACTTAGCATTTCTCATTCTTACTTGCATGTGCATCAGATGTACTCTGCATTCAGATAACTGGTAATTAAACCCTAGTTTTTAGGGCCTTTCAAAGAACAGATTTCAATTAATACTGAAGCATAGTTGTACGTAAATTTAATTAAAAAAATTTTAAATAGCATTTTATTGGACAAAAAGTAAAAATCAATATGGGAGTCTTGGATAATTATGTTTTACTACAGTTCTGTTTAATTGAATATTTTAGTGCTTTTCCACCAAAACAAATTAAAAACGCGCCTGTCTGTTAAAAACAAATACGCACACATTTTTTTTTTTTTGTATGGGTTTGAAAAGATGCAGGTGCATACTACAGAAAAAGAAATCCTCAAAAGGGGAAGCTATAAAAAAGGTTTATAGTTAATTTATGTTTCTAAACTAATTTTATATATATAATTTTTCTTTAATAAACAGACACGCATTTATACAGTGGTTTTACGATGCAGTGCAGCCTATGGTAACATTGCATGGCCTCAATCTGCATATCATGTTCCCCATTCTCTAGTCTACACTGTCATTTCTGTAAATGCTGCTTCAATTTTCTGTTTCACACTGCATCATTTTGTACTCCGTGCCTTACAATTTCTAATCTATACGTAAGTTTTATGTTGAAACGTTTGCACATCGGCAAGGTCTGTGCATGGACTGGGCCTTTAAAAGGGTCAGTTGGATGGGTTTTCCACCACGGGCTAAATGTTCCAAGCCCTCCCCTGGATCTAAGATTACCAGACTGTTGTATTGCCCATATAATAAAGAACCGAGCAGATTCCTGTACATAACTCAGGGCTTACATTTCAATTTTGGCTGGGGTGCACCTTGTATGACTAAAGGAAATCTGAAAAGTTTTTTTTGTTTATTTCACTTTTTTTTTTCACTTTTTCATTTAATGACACAATTGCAGAACAATACAACACCACATATCTTTTTGCTTTATGGCAGGAAAGAGCAATACGACAGTGTTCACATTATACTAAAGCTTCAGAAGAAAAAAAAAATGGTCCAAGAACAGAGTTCATTAGCTGAAAACTAAAGGCCTTTAGGACTGGTCATTGGGACAGGTTTTCTGATGTGCCAGTTGTGGTCACCTTTATGCACAGTTTTTACTTGTTTCCAACAGATTGTTCTATAATCCCTGTGATGAATACAAATCATCTAGTAAGCTAACATATTTAATAGTTAATGCACATCCTTAGAAAATGTTTTTTGGATTTTATCCCTGACTTTTAATAGAATAAAGTTGTATCTGGACCTCTTGGCAGTGGTATGGCTCTTCAATTTCAATTTGCATTACATTACACTACAAGACAAGCAGACTGTGGAGATTCCTGTGAGGTGTAGAAGCCACCTGCCCAGGAACCAGATCATTTACACCAACATCAATTCTTTACGATAACAACACCAGTAAGGTAGCCCTATGGATCCAGCGCTATCTTTCTACTTTCCTCCTTAAAACATCAAGAGTTAAGGTACATTTACTACTAGTTGCATGTTATATTGTATACTACATATATTCACTAAAGGTGAATGCATTATTTAGGGACTCTTGCAAGCATAGCTGTGATGCATTAGGAAATGCACTCTAATTGTTACTGTAAGTGGGCTTTAGCCTTCCAAACGGTGAAGATTGGACAGGCACAGCCAGAACAAAACAAAAATCTTTGCAAGGCACAATAAATACATCCCAAGAAGCTGTAGAGTTTCCTGCAGCCGACATGATAAAAGTAGACCAAGTAAAAAAGAAATAAAAATCAATTCTATGCATCTTCAGGAAGTGGAACAAAACATTTTTAATTTAAAGAAATTTGGTAGCATAACTTAAATGGGTAATTTTTTATAGCAAAGAAAAAAAAAAAAAAAAGATAGCCTGACTGCCATTCCTTTTACTGGCCACATAATTTGAGAGGTGATGTCAATGTGCACAAACACTGATATCTAGCATTATAAAACATACAGCATGTTAAACTCCTTTATTACCAGTTACTCAACTTCCATATGTCACCCCAGAATCCTTATTGGCTCTCCCTTGTAAACAACCTGAAAAAAAAAGATCTAATTTCTAAACTCGCTTTCTGTAGATTGAAGATATTCGGAGTCCATTTAGTATTTAAAAGTTCTGTATAAAACACATGAACATAGGATTTATGTCATTTTTCACTGTTCCCCAGTATGTGCATAACAGGAGTTCACGAATCCTTAAAAACAGGAGAAATTGTCTTCAGGATGTGTTTGGCCCATAGTAGTCCAACTGTAATATTCAGTTCAAAACACAGAAATAAGGGCAAACACTCCGTAAAGTAAAGCACAAGGATAGGCGACCAGGAATTGCTGTCCCTCCATTGCTAAAGCAGAAATGAAGATTTTTGAGGCGGAGAAGCTACACCAACCAATGATCAAAGCTGTGAGGAGAACACCGGCAATCCCTCTGAGAAAAGAAAAACAAACATGTCTTAATGACAGCCTTACATTGAAGGTTTCTAGTACACAAATAAATTGTGCTGCTCTGTCAGGAAAATGCCAATTCTGGGCTTATAGATGCCAATTAGTGTGTGCATGTAGTGTATATCCAGTGCAGGTTAGTGGCAGAATGGGTGACATTTATCAAAACAGATTTATTATTAGCATGCAATTGCATATTAAATTAGTCACTATGAAAATTAACATACCTGTGCATGTTTAAAAAGTGCCCGTCAGCACTGAGGGTGAATTTAATTGCTAATAATGTTCACAGTTGGGGCACAAGTGAGAAAAGAGATGTACAGTAGCTTTTTGGCAGTGCAATCACATACAACTAAATCTTTGTTCACAAAACAGGATTATTACCAACATTTTTCTAAGCAAATTGCACAAATAGTTAATGTGTAATTGCTTTAAAGGCAGAACTCCAGGAATTCAGCCATTTTGTAAAATGGTTGGCATACTATGAGTTAAATCCAACAAGGTGCATGTCACCTTGTGGACTTATCTCTTTAATTTACATCTGACAGTTTAATGGAGCTCTGGAAGTACAGCTATTGTTACACTCCCAGGCACTTAGAGGAAAGATGCTGCTCTCTCATACAGCAGCAAAGACCAGAAGGCCCAGAGTCAGAGTGCCAGAAGTATAGAGACAACTATGTTCCTGGTGGCGAGTAAAAATACAAATGATAAATTTGCACCTCATTGGACTCAACCCCTAATAATCCAGCACATTGTTCAAAGAGACTAAATTCCTGGCGCTCAGCATTAATAAATGTCCTCGAATGAAGTTTATAAGTACAGGGAAACACTTTGAACAATCTGCTGCATCAGGTAATAAGATTCAGGAATTATGCCAACGTTAAGATACAATTTTAAGTAATTACATTTGTAGTATAATCTGCAAATGTAAAACTATGATGCTAATGAAGATCTTTCTTGGGACTCGTCCAGCCTAAATAACTTTATTTTTGAAGAAATCTAGAAGTCAATTTTTATGGGAGAGCAGATACCACTATCCGCAGGACACCACAGTATTTGCTCCACAATGGACCTGCATGCTATGACTCATTCACAAAATGTGGAGCACGGTGTGCAGCCTAGTGTCTGCCAGAGTTCTCTGTATAATGCTGCAGGGAACACTCTACAGTAGGAAAAGTTGGTAGTGGTGGGCACGTACGTAGGCAGTGCAATGTGTAAAAAGCCATTAAATCGTCCCACAGCATATTTCACTGCCCCCTCACAAAAGCAGTAAACTATATAAAAGGAAAGCTACAAACAAAAGGATATGTAGATAAAACAAGATATCATTGGAAGTGCATTCCTATATCTCTTAAAAAAAAAACAAAAAAAAAAAAAAAAAAAAACCAAATAAACAAAAAAAGAAAAACAAAAACCTGTTAATCCTGTCAAAACCAACTTCTGGTGCTGACTGTTATTAGTTACATTATTCCCAGCTATCTTTGAGTACAATAGAACAACTACTACATATGTTATAAAAAATAGGAGAGGAGCATGGTTCTGTAGTCCCGACCTATGGGGACAATGCTTTTCTTCCACAGATACAGTAATGCATTTTCATCCTAGCACAGGAAGTGTAATACAAGCAGGGTCACCTGGTAAAAATAATAATATAAAAAATACGGCCTGAAAAAAGGAAATGTATGCCGCACCACATCTAAGGAATGGTAAGCTGCAATGTTACATTCTTTTTCTTGAATTTATACAAGTTTAACACATTCAGTGCTATAAACTAAAACAATACATAAAATAAGCATTCTATCTTCTACAAACATGCTTTTTGTTAGTGTTAGTTACGTTTACTTGAAACAGAAGTAAAGTCTAAAGAAAAGAAAAAACTTCCCCCTGCAAGTTAAGGGCATAATGTGCTAATATGCATCACATACTAGCATATTCTGAAAGATTTGGCTAACAACGACGAACTCCAATGGCACACTGTCACTGCTGACAGGGCTTCCATCTTCAACTGGTCTTCCTTCCGGGTTTGTGGGCTCTGACCACTTGAATGGCTAAGCTACGATGAAGTCACTCCCCTGCTTGTGCACAGGAGCCATCATTGCAGCACAGAACTCTGAATGAACGGGCATACTCAGTATGCCATACCTTCAGAACGCAGTGTGCACGCACAGGTGACGTCACCGGCTGCAGAAATAGCGAATATCTCCTAAACAAGGCACCTTTAGGAGATATTGCTTCTACCTACAGGTAAGCTTTATTATAAACTTACTTGTAGGTACAAGTCACCAAGCAGTCATCACTACCGTTTTAAAACATCAAATACTCAGTCATTTTATTTTAAGTTGGAAGTCATTTTTCTAACATTTAATTTGTCCAGGTTGCTCATGTTTGTTCATAATAACAGGACAAAAATAGGCTTGTATAAGTTTACACCTAAAGATCTCGGGATTAGGAGAATGGTGTAAAGTATAATGCACATCAATAAGGGCTCATGTACACAGGGCATTTGGAAAAATCTTCTGAACGATGGAAACGGACTGCTGCAAAACGTAGGTCAAAAAACGTCAGTTTAGCCACGTTTGCATAACGCATTTAGAAGAGTTTTTAAAAGAGAACTTCAGGAGACCCTCCGAAACGCCCAGAATGCACTGAAAAATAGTAAATAATTAACTATTTCAGACATTTTGAGAGAAAGAGAGCAGTATGTGTTGAGATTACCTATCTTTTCTGGCTGTATCACATCATGAGCAATGCAGCACGTTCTACCAATTTTTCCTTCATGCGAAACCTGCAACTGACTGCGATGGTGTACTAGGTCCATTTGAATACATGGAAAACACTTTGCATGCATTTTTGATGATGAAAAAAGGCTCCTGACAGCATCTGGATATGGACCTGTCAAAAAACGCATCTCAACGCAAACACTTATAAACGCGGTTAACAGCATTTACAAGCGTTTACCGTTTGAAATGTCAGTAAAATCTACTCCTGAACGCAACTTTGCTGCGTTCAAAAAAAAGCACTGTAAACTCAACTGCCTGTAAACGACGATGTGTACATGGGCACGTAGGAAAACATTAGGGAGAATTCAGGGACTGCTGAAAAAAACCACAGAAAAGCTCCTGAATGTCAGTTTATCAGCTGCAGTGTACATGAGCCCTAAAGGTCTTTCAGTATTTTTACACGTGCACACAATTTTAAAAGTGCACCTAAAGCAAAAACATTTTTTCTAGTGCTGGATAGAGTGGTGAGGGTTTAGAACCCCTGTCACTATGAAGGAGATTCAATATTTCTACTTGCCCTGGTTACCATTGTCACTGTGAACTGAAAGTGAGGTAAAAAAAACTAAACAAAAACAAAATTTTGAGTTTTCACACATACAGGAATAGAGGGGAAATGACTTAAAAACGAGGCGAAGGGAAGTATCCCTAATGTGACACAGATAGCAGAAAAAATGACCAAGCTTTGCTCAGTCCCTGCTCTTCAAAATAAAGGCTTTGGTTTAAAGCTGAATTCTGGGAAACTGAAAAATCTTATCTTGCAGTGGAGCACTGCAAAGGCCAACTGCTCATCTTTGCCTATGGAACCAGGTATAGTGAATAAAAGTATTTCCTAAATACTTGGATTTTTGTGTTGTATGGTTTTGAATGGCATCTGAAACTTCCCTACGATCACAGATTCTATGCTTGCATTACATGGTTGGGGTGCCATTTTAGAACTGATGTTCAATTTCTGGGTGCATACCATAAAACAGAAGCTCAAATTTGATGTTGCTACAAGTGAACACCTTTTGAAAAAGAGGGTGAGGAAAGTGTGTATTTTACTTACTGCAAAGATAAGACTACAGCAAAACCAGACAGGATAATCATAGGCAGGAGACAGTAGCCCAGGACACTTGAAACACAGCCAAAGGAAACACCGGTCATGCTCATCAAGTTGAGAAGACAAAACATCCCCAGACAGCCAATTGCACTGATCCCATAAACATAACCAAACTGGATCTTTCCCGCCTGTCAGAACAGAGAGATTAAAGAAAATTAAAACCAATATAACACTACCTGGTCTCCAAAGGATGGTGATACTTGGAAATGACACTAAAATTATCCGTGCAGATTTTCCCAAATGCTATGAAACCTGTGAAATCAGACCTGACTTTCAGATTCTTTTAGATAACAAGAACATTGGTTATTTGTCATCTGCAACATTTCAATGTCACCCCACCATGTCAATTGAAGGAGAATTTACTCCAAATGGAGGAAACAAGAATCTTGTCAAGCCATGACTGTAGGGACAGACTGGGGGTAAGGGGGGGGGGGGATATCTGCTTGCAGGGGGTAACAGACAGCACAGAAGGAAAACCATGCCTCACATCTGTTGGAAATATGCATTAACCGCTTCCTGACCACCCTATAGCAGAACTACTGCTACAGGACGGCAGGGCTGCGCAAAATCACGTATATATACACGTGATTTTGTATTTCCAGGTAGAGGGCATGCGCGCCCTACCCGCACCACCACTGGCAGCTTCATCTGTCGATCACCGGGTCCCAGGCGGAGATCCCCAGCAGTCTCTGATCGCCGAGGAACACCAACGGAGAAGATGTCTGTAAGTAAGCAATACAGATTTCTCCTGTCATCTCCAGCATGCTGCTGCAAAGCAGAGCAATACAAAGCAGTGTGTTTACACAATAAAACACACACAGCACACAGTTAATCCTTTCCTTTGATCTCCGGAGATGTTTACCCCTTCCTGCCCAGTGTCATTAGTACAGTGTCAGTGCTTTTTATTAGCACTGATCACTGTATTAGTGTCACTGGGGATGTCAGTGACAGTTCCCCCTCCCCCACCACCAGTGTCAGAATGCTCACCACAGTTCTGCAATAAGTATATATGTACATACATACATACAGTGAGGAACAGAAGTATGGATTTTGCAAGTTCTCCCACTTAGAAATCATAGAGGGGTCTGAAATTCACATTGTAGTTGCATTCCCACTCTGAGAGATAGAATTTAAAAAAAAATTCAGGAAATCACATTGTATGATTTTTAAAGAATTATTTGTCTTGCACTGCTGAACATAAGTATTTGAACACCTGAGAAACAGCAAGAATTCTGGCTCTCAAAGACCTGTTACTGTGCCTTCAAAAAGTCCATCTCTACTCCACTCATTAATCTAACTTAGTAGCACCTCTCTGAGCTCTTTAAAGACACCTGTCCACTCCACAGTCAGACAGCCAACTACTACCATGGGCAGGACCAAAAAGCTGTCAAAAGGCACCAGAGACAAAACTGTGGACCTCCACAAGGCTGGAAAGGGCTACGGGGGCAATTGCCAAGCAGCTTGGTGAAAATAGATCAACTGTTGGAGCAATTATTAGAAAATGGAAGAGGCTAAAGACGACTTTCAGTCTCCCTCACACTGGGGCTCCATGCAAGATCTCACCTCGTGGGGTATCACTGATGATAAGAAAGGTGAGGAATCAGCCCAGAACTACAAGGGAGGAGCTGGTCAATGACATGAAGAGAGCTGGGACTACAGTTTCAAAGGTCACTGTCGGTAGAACACTACGCCGTCATGGTTTCAAATCATGCATTGCATGGAAGGTTCCCCTGCTCAAGTCATCACATGTCCAGGCCCATCTGAAGTTTGCCAATGACCATCTGGATGATCCAGAGGAGGCATGGGAGAAAGTCATGTGGTCAGATGAGACCAAAGTAGAACATTTTTGGTCTAAACTTCACTCGTCGTGTTTGGAGGAAAAAGAAGGATGAGTTGCATCCAAAGAACACCATCCCTACTGTGAAGCATGGGGGTGGTAGCATCATGCTTTGGGGGTGCTTTTCTGCGAAGGGGACAGGACAACTGCACTGTATTAAAGGAGAGGATGAATGGGGCCATTTATTGTGAGATTTTGAGCAACAACCTCCTTCCCTCAGTCAGAGAATTGAAGATGGGTCGTGGAAGGGTCTTCCAACATGACAACGACCTGAAGCACACAGCCAGGATAACCAAGGAGTGGCTCCGTAAGCACCATATCAAGGTTCTGGAGTGGCCTAGCCAGTCTCCAGACCTAAATCCAATAGAACATCTTTGGAGGGAGCTGAAACTCCGTGTTTCTCAGCGACAGCCCCGAAACCTGACAGATCTAGAGGAGATCTGTGTGGAGGAGTGGGCCAAAATCCCTGTTGCAGTGTGTGCAAACAAACCTGGTCAAGAACTACAGGAAACGTTTGACCTCTATAACTGCAAACAAAGGCTTCTGTACCAAATATTAACACTGATTTTCTCAGGTGTTCAAATACTTATGTTCAGCAGCGCAAGACAAATACATTCTTTAAAAATCATACAATGTGATTTCCTGATTTTTTTTTTTATTCTGTCTCTCAGAGTGGGAATGCACCACCAATGGAGGGCAAGTGGTTAGCTCTACCCTACATTTAAGAAAAAAAACTGCCACATAAGCACCCTGTAAAAGAGAAGGAATTCTTACCTCTCTTTCTCAGGTGGTGGCTCAAATTTTTGCTCTGTTGCAGAGCTCCAGCCACCAATATTATCCAATACATATGGGTGTTTTTGGATGCTGCATCTACCACTGCAAGCTGTGCTGCAGCTTTCCTCTAGCTGACAGCTAATTCACTACAGGACACAGCAGTAGTGATGTTGGACTCCCACACATCCCTTAGTGTTAGATATCAGTGGTCTGCAGAGGAAGTACCACAATTGCCTCTCACCAGAGGTTAAGAATCCCTTTTCCTCTTTTACAGAGTGCTTACACTGCTGTTTCTTCCCCCTATGTGTATACATATTGATTTAGTTTGGCATAATGAATAACATAAAAGCAGACCACTCAAGGGTCTAAGGCCACATTTACATGGATGCTGGGGCCTGCACAGCGTGAATAAGGAGTTTACTTTTCTGGAGCTGCATGCATGCAGCCTATGCTAGTGAATGGAGATGCAGCAGCTAAACGGACAAACTGCACATTGGAGTTTGACAGGTGTGCAAGGTGTGAAAGGCAGCCCTGACCGCATACTGCCTGCACACATCTACAGCTGTGTAAACAAACACTTCATTCACACTGTACAGACTTCACTGTCTAAGTGAATGAGGTCTAAGTCATTCTTAATAACCCACGATAACCAGTTCCCCTATGGAGCAATATTTTAACACATTAAAATCTGCGTTTTTGGCTCAAACCCCACAGAACATTTTACATTACCTGAAAGCAGAGGCACTGTAGAATAAAAAGATGGTAGTTGCGCGCAACAATCTGCATTGTAAAAATTTCAAGTACCAGGAGAAAAAAAAACAAACAAAAAAAAAAAAAAAACCACAACAAGCAGGACACAACACAAACAACAAGAGCATGCAATTTCATCAGCATCTCAGTTTACTTAAAAAAAAAAAAAAAAAAAAAAAATTATGACTTTAACCCCTTCACGCCGAGCGTACGCAAATATGCGGCCTCTCCGCGCCTGGGCCTGGACACCGAGCGGCCGCATATTTGCATACCGTTTGTAAACACGTGTGCTGAGAGCACGCACCCTGTGCACTCCAAGCGCGTGCCTTGGCATCCCACGGAAAGGTCCCAATCTCTTCTTGCGAACGGGACCTTTTCTGTTCATGTGACCTCCATGACAGCCGATCACATGACCATAGAGCTGCCTCCCAGCATCAGAAACCCCTTAAAGGGCCAGGAGGCACAGGCACAAAGGGTTAATATCACTTTAAACAATGCAAAGTGGATAATTCACTCTTATAGGATGTAACATGCTAATTTTAGGGCTCAACATTTGAATGCATTACTCTATACATACAAGACTTGTTTACAATTATTTTTTTCAATTAAGATGTGGTGATGCCAACAATTTTCAACTGCGTACTGTTAATTTTTTAAAATGCAGTTATAGTACATTACTAAAAAGAAAAATCATAAAGTGATAAAGTTAAATGTATACCTAAGTATTCTATATATTATATTACCATACACATTTATACATACTATTGGGATGTTTTTTTTTTTTTAATTAGAGAACCTGTCGGAATAGAAATGGGGAAATCAAATCACCAATGTCAAAATGCCTTGAGTGCAGGGTGAGTATATACTGGAGAGTGAGAGGTTCATATATTACAAAAAGTTTAGTTTTATTCTCATGGAAGAACAAAAAAAGCATCTTAAAATAAAAGCAATTGCATAATACAAGTAATTTAAACAGTATACTCCAAAATACAATAGGCATACCAGCAGTAGTGTAGCTCCAAATGCAAGGCAGAAAACCATTGGACCTGCCAGATCTGTCTCGTTCATGATGCTGCCATCTGCTACTTTTAATGGGTGGAGTACGGTTAACGTTTTCTGCCATATGTGATCAAAGTTGATTCCAAGCTCTGCGAGATAAATACAAACAGCTAATTATGCAATACAAGAAAATAGTAATTTAAAAGACCACTTTTTAAATGCATTACCAATGTAGCTCAGCAGACCTTGATATTACTTTAGCTAGCCATGAATGTAACTGTAAAAAAAATGCTACCTGCTGCTGTAAATACCATAACTTTTAACAACTAGTAATTATATGAAATGCTACTTTCATAGCCTTTGGTTACAAATCTGTTGAACCTGGCCATAAATACAGATATTTGATGATATTCTTTTCAATTGATGTGCATAACCATTACTTAGTGCATTACTGCCTATAGAACAGTAACACTCAGTGCTGACATACTGTATCTGATAATGCCAACTGTAGTCAGTGAAGAACAGAAACTGGATGAAATATTTTGTAAGTGTTGTGAAAACCTCCTAGTTCTACTTTAACATATCATCAGTCTTCTCTGTCTTTGCAGCCTGTGTTGCTGCAATATTTTGCACCAAATGTAAGCTCCTGTTATTTACAACCATATGGTGGCTATGGTGCCATGCAGGGTCTCCCAGGAACCCCACCATAGCCACACAGATATATGCGCTCCTGGCCTGAACTACAAAGGTGTGAGAGCAGAGACTATAAGAAAGCTCGAAGGTCCCATTCACACTAGGGCATTTTGAATTGCGGACATAATTGCTGAGATTCTGTCCACGAATTCAAAACGCTCTGCTAAAATGGCAAATCGTAGAACCACGTGTTCAGGTGCCATTGATTTTAATTAGTGGAACTTCTTTTGGGCGACACACATTGGGCGACTGCATTTTCAGGTGCCATTAAAATGAATGGCAGCTGGACATGGGGTTATGCGATTTGTCATTTTAGTTGAGCGTTTTGAAATTGAAGTCAGGACCTCAGTGATTCTGCCTGCGATTGAAAACTCCCTAGTGTGAATGGGGCCTAAGAGAATGGGCAAGCATTCACATTATGAGCTGGGTGCAAGGAACACAGAGCATATTGTCCTGATGAAGGAAGTTACCCAATTGTTTTATTAGGTGAACACTGTATGCTCCCAGATCAAGAAGTTTAGGGAAAGTGATGCAAAGACAGAACAAGCGGCACAAATTTTGAGCAGACAAACATAGGTCTTTGTGGCAAAATAAAACGAAATAGCCTGGCAATTGTTAAAAGTAACAGAGTCAAAGGGGAAACGATTTTTTAAATTGAACTTATCAGTCGCTCCAGATACAACTGTTTTCAAGCCATAAAATGTGAGAATATCACACACTTGATTCAACTCTACAACAATCCCTTGCTGTGTTAACATATATTAGAGCCTGCACCATGGCTAAAGGTTAGCACTCCTGCTATGCAGTAATAGGATCCTGTGTTCAATAAACAACATTGCACTAAAAGGATATTTTATGATATATATGAATTTCTTCTCTAAATGCTTGTTTGCAACAAATTAAAACACAATACGTTGTGTGTGGGTATGGTTGCTAGACTGTAGTTAGAACTATCAAACTGTAAGCCGTGTGGAGGCCAGGACAGATCTGAATGGCACATATACAGTATATACACAAACGTTCTGTAGAAATCTAATCTGCCATATAAATGAATAAAGTAAATAAACCTTATACAAAGGCTAGAAATGACTACATTATATTAGCACTCTATTCTCAATAAAACACCAGCTATATTACCACAAAAATAAAGTGCAGATTTACAGTTCCCAGTACAAGCATACTCTTATCCTAGTTCCATACTTTTACTTTTCAAGAAGGGTGTGGTAAAAATGCAGAGCTGAATGTACCCAACTGGCACTGTTTTTAATTGGGTATTTCAGGAAAATGAAAGGATAAGGGCGCTTTCAGACAAACTGCACTTAATTGTTTTGTCCCCTTTTTCCTGACCTAACCTAACCCCCTTCCCCCAAACACACATTCACACTTACCGTAATCCAACATCTGCAGCCTCCGGTGTTTATTTATATCCAGTGCCCAAAATCTTCTCTTCATCTCCGGTGGCCTGGAAACTAAGGAGATGACCCTACAGAAGTCTGTGATGTTGTATTGTGCAGAAGGGGACCAGGACAGAGAGGACTAGCAGTGCTGGATGTAAACAAACAGCAGATATTGTGGCTGTTAGAACAGGGCAAATATGTGGATAGGGGAGAGTTGATTAGGTTGTCTCACCAGTGCAGAGTGGCTGTGGCTTCCGCTATACACATATGCGGTTTATTAGTGCCACTACATACAGGGCACCAACAAATGTGAATGCATCTATGTTTTTAGGATACATAAAATAGATTTAAAAAAAATGGTTTTATGCTATAAGTCCCCCTGCTCTGTTCTTTTTTTATTTATGAGTGGAGCTGTCCATGTCTGTAAAAGGAGAAGGGGATGTTTTTGCCGTCAAGCATTACTGACCCCTTAACACAAAAGATCCATCAATTCTGGCAAGTTCGAGCTGTCCAGAAAGGTGTGCACAAGAGTCTTGTAATTTCCGTGTGGAGGAAGAATTAATGAAAATCCAGTTTTGGGTGGAACACTGAAATTTTGATCCATATTTGATCATTTTGGAAGGAATATAATCTGATTATCCATTTGTGGGTGGAGCGGACACTTTTTGCACTTTAGTATTTTTTTGCACTTTATGCATCAAAGCACCTTTGCTATTTATGAAATGTATTGTATGTAGATGAGTTTTAGAGGTGTTAAACACGCAGAAGCACATAGAAATTTTAAAAGCGCCAGCAGTTTAATTTTTTTTTTGTTTATTTTATCTTAATATTGAACACTTAGGTATTAGTGCTGCCTTTTTATTTTAGACTTATTTTTGTTTTTTGCTTTTGTTATCTGCTTTTAAATGTACAAGACTTATTTTTTGCACAATTACTGACATTCAGTTATTAATGAAAATTAAAGTTAGTTTTTTTTGAAGCAAAGGCTCGCATGTAAAGTATGTGTGTCTGTGCTTCATGACCACACTGCAACAATATACAGAATATAATAAGCAGAGATTTTACCTTCTAGTAAAGGTGGTTCATCGTCAAAAGTACTTCCATACACAGATTCTGTGGAAGTTGGAGTGTAGGTTTGAGTTGGCTGATAGATCTGTCCTGTGTAGGGTTGTTGTTGATTCATCATATCTGGAGGCATGAAACCACCTTGTTGTGCATAGTCATAATGATATTGCCTGTATAAAGACATAAGAGCCAAATAAGCAAAAGCTATTCGAGTAACAAAATATGTCAAAATCTACATCGCATATTTTGCCTTTAGATACAGAAAATGTTTATTATAGAGTGAGTAACATAAAAATCTTGAACATACAGAAGCAACAGATGGAAAACCTCCTGTTCGTTTTTAACCTTTATGATTATTAAAACTGTTCCAGCCATGTAAATACAAAGCAAAGTGCAAGCCAGCCACAGACTTGCACACAGTCTTGTAAATATAAAATATTGTAGACTATGTGGAGTTCAATACAGTTAGCAGTTAATATCTAGGTCTTTTTCATGTTTCAGGATGTGACAAGTCACTGTGGGACTGAACCCCCTGCCTCGGCTCCCTGTTGGGATAGCTGTCACAAATTTTAAAAAAGTACACTCGGCCTGTGTCATTCATTCACAGACTTCTGTGAGTGGAAAACTACAAGTCCTGTAAGCCTTTACAGCTGTCGGCTTGTAGTTGGCTGTGGTAGTTCATTGATTCTTCCTGATTCTTTATTCTTCTTGTCAATGTAAAACTGCCAAGCAGACAGATTACACTGACAGTCTGCAGGACTACTCCTAGGTACTAGCAATGCAATCTGCTGATTGCTGATGCAATGGTTTCCAGGCTGCTAAAACAAAAAATAGTAAATGCACATTTTTTGAACATGCAAAAAAAAATTGCATTTATTATTTTTTCATTAAAAGGTGAACTTATCGTTTTAAGTTAAAGTAAGCCAAAAGACAAACTGATTTTGCTATGCTCTTGCCTTCGTTAACCCATAACGCTGTAGAAATTCCTTTGCAATGTACTAAATTATTTTCAAGATAAATTTTGTACACAGGTTGGAAAGGAGAAAAAAATGTGAATCTTATATTTACCAAACACTCACCAAGTTCCTGCAAGAATTTACCCTCTGCAAATCAGCCAATCTCAAAATACTCTGGCCTCCACGCTTCTAAACAAACTTATTACAACACTTTCATCAAAAGCCATCATCCAATCCTCATCAACTCTTTTCTACCCTTAATTCCTTACTTCACCCCCCACAGCCTGCATCCACCAACTTACTTACTGCACAGGAGATTGCCAGTCATTTCAAGAACAAGATCGACACAATTCGTGATGAGATCGCCAGTGTCAATCTTCCTCCTCCAACCAACATACCAGGCCCAACACTACACTCAATACTCTACTCCTTCGACCCTGTTACCACTGAGGAAGTTACCAAACTCCTTTCCAAGACTCACTTCACCACCTGTCCCCTCACGATTATTGCAGCCTCCTTCCTGCTCTATCCTAAACTCTCTAACCCACATCTTCAACCTTTCACTCTCCATGGGCACCTTTCCCTTCCCGCTCAAACATGCACTGGTTACCCCCATACTTAAAAAAAAAAAACCCTTGCTGGACCCCACCTGTTTGGATTACTTAAGACCCATCTCCCTGCTCCTGTTTGCCTCCAAGCTTCACAACTGTATGAGTTGCTACCTCACCGAAAACAACCTTCTCGATCCTCTACAGTCTGGCTTCCGCTCACAACATTCCACTGAAACTGCCCTACTAAAACTCACTAATGACCTACTAACTGCTAAAACAAATGGCCACTACTCTATACTCATACTCCTTGACCTTTCTACTGCCTTTGACACAGTTGACCACCCACTCCTCCTCAGTAAACTCTACTCCATTGGCCTCCGTGACTCTGCTCTCCTGGTTCTCCTCTTACCTTTCTCAGTGTACTTTCAGCGTCACATACAACTCCTCTGCTCCTCTTCCTCTTTCCGTTGGGGAATCCTAAGGCTCTGTCCTTGGGCCCCTCCTTTTCTCTCTCTATACACCTCCTCCCTGAGCCAGCTGCTAACCTCCCATGGCTTTCAATAGCACGTCTATGCTGATGACACCCAGATCTATCTCTCCACTCCCCAACTCACCCCCCTCATTCTCCGCATGTATCACAAATCTACTAAGCGACATATTAGTATGGATGTCACACCACTCCCTTAAACTCAATCTTTCCAAAACTGAGCTTGTAATATTTCCTCCTCCCCGATCCCCCACTCATGACTTTACCATTAAGATCAACAGCACAACCATTGGTGCTTCCCCTCATGCCAGGGTGCTAGGCGTAATCCTAGAATCTGACCTCTCCTTCGGGTCCCACATCCAATCACTGGCTAAATCCTGCTGCCTCAACCTCTGCAACATTTCCAAAATCCGCACCTTTCTGACCAATGACACCCCACAACAACTTATCCACGCCTTGGTTATATCCTGCCTTGATTACTACAACTTCTTCCTCACTGGTCTACTGTTACACAGGTTATCCCCCCTTCAGTCTATTATGAATGCTGCTGTTAGGCTCATACACCTTACCAACCGATCAGTGACTGCTGCCCCTCTCTGCCAATCCCTTCACTGGCTTCCACTAACCCAACGAATAAAATTCTAAATATTAACCACAACATACAAAGCCATCCATAACACTGCCCCTAGCTACAACACCAACCTTATCCGCAGATATCGGCCAAATTGCCCACTCGGCTCCTCCCAAGACATCTTGCTCTCTAGCTTCCTCGTCATTTCCTCCCATGCTCGCCTCCAGGACTTCTCCAGAGCCTCTCCCATCCTCTGGAACTCCCTACCCCACTATGTCAGGTCAGCCGCCACCCTGTCTGCTTTTGGCAATCTTTGAAAACCCACTTATTCAGGGAAGCCTACCCCACCTCCACCTAAGAACTGTACTTGAGCCACTTCCATCAGATCATCCCCTGCAGCTATCACCTTTTGTACCACCTCCCCCTTCCTTTAAATTGTAAGCTCCACAAGCAGGGCCCTCATTTTCCTTCTGTGCTGAAATGTACGTTCTCCATTTATAGTGTAAAGTGTTGGCAATATATAAATCCTGTATAACAATAATAATTCACTGCAGGCGATTCTTCCAGGCCCATGTATTTTAAAGGACAATGACTGATTCACCACCAGTAAGGCCTCCTTCACATGAGTGTTTACACACACACACAGCAAGAATCAGCAGCCATCATCTTTGGCCATCCAAGCTTTGACTCATCTGACATACACACAGGACGGCTGTTGTCAGATGAGTCCAGGCTCAGACACCTATCCCTAGCCGCAGGTACCCACTTGATGTGGGTACACACAGGATGGCCAATACAATTTCCCGTGCAATCGCCTAGCAGGTAGCTATCATAACTAGGTCGCTGCTACCCCCCCCCCCCCCCCCCACTCCTTTTGGGATGCAGTAAACATCCCTTAGAAACTGTCATCTGATCTTTTTAAATCTTAAAATGTGAAGCCAACGGTTGTTTTTTTTCTCTAAAATTTTGGATAGAGTAGGGAAAGTTTAAGACAACTGCCAGGTTTTTTTTGTCTGGTTGTCTGTCTCCTGTCTCAGATATTTCTCAACTTCCTGTCCCAAAGACACAGCAGGAAGTAAAATGATCTCGGCAAAGTGGAAATATCATCTTAGACAACTGTCACCAGGTTTCTCTATTAGAATAATTCACCTCAACTCCTGTTCCTGTGATCCAAAATTTTGGATTTCCAATTGCTTTCTGTTTTGGTGACAAAAGTCATCAGAACAAGTCTGGAGGATGAATCTCCCCAGCAGGGGACACAGTCTGCAATAAAAAAAACGTACCCTCCCCCCCATATCACTATACCTTGGGTATCAGTGACATAGAAGGTACTGAAGTCACTGGACCATGACAGCCAGGGAACTAGAATTTTCAGGGGGCAATGAGGATGCTTACCAAGAATAGGTTTACTTTACCAAAAACAGGTTTATTTTACTCTTCTAATTTTTTTTTTTTTCTACTTCTCTATGGTCCCCTGCAGCTCTCACTGGTACCTCTTGCTGGTATACATGTTACTGCAGAAAAAAGTAGTGATGTGACCACTGAGACTGACACTCCCAGAAGACTTTAACAGACCATTTTTCATGTTACCTCAGTGAACTACAAGACACCTGCAAGCTATGTTATGAAGAGGAGTAGAGGGGGGAGGTGTTCTCACACCTCCTTCCGAGGGTGGCAACGCTGCCATTTTGTAAATATGTCACAGAAAGCGAGTTACTGGCAGAATCACCAGGTGGAGAAAAAAAAAAAAAAAAGAAAAAAAGTCTTACTTGTTATATTTGTCCTCCGCTAGGATTGTAATTGAATCCCTGAGACTGATCATCAATGCTATAGCTGTTTGGTAGAAATCTTGATTGAAGTTTTCAAAGTTAGACATTGTAGCAGCTCTAGAAAAATTAAAATACATCACACAGAAATCTAACAAAATGATGTACCATCAAGTGACACGGTCACCTTGCTCATGGGTTCAGCAGTGAAAGTACCTCTGCAATGCCCATCACCTTAATCCACCTATCATGACTTTCCCAGCACTATCTTGCTGCTTATTTCTCTTCCACAATCAAGTGAGAGAGCTTGTACCTTGCGACCGACACGAAAAGAGAAGGTCATATGCTCTTGTATACTTAGAATTGCTGGGTAATGTCTTTGGCTGTGGAGGAATAGGGAGCACTGGTAAGGTGAGTATAAGGAAGTTGGGAAGGGGGGCTTTGCAGAGATACTGTTTTGCAGTAGTGGGATTCTGAGAGTATGACAGCAAGTAAAGAAGATGAGTGCAGAACATATGCAAATGGTATGAAAGGTGGGAGGCATGTGCAGGAGAGGAGCGTGGAAGGGCAGTACCACCCACCAAACAGAACCCATTAATATGAATATGGCTGCTCTGCAGTTACCTGCAACTGTGTACAATGCACTGGTCGTGGTGGGGCAGGTTCTTAAAGTGGAACTTTACCCATAACAACTTGATAAATGTTTCTGCTTGCTGGAGGCTGCAATTTTGCTGAACCCCAGAGCCCTGAGCAGCAGTAAATCCTAAGGCTGTCAGCAGATCAGCCTCTACATTCTCAGCACAGTGCCAAGAAATAAAGAGCAACTGAGCATGTGCAGACCAGGGTGAGACAGTGTATTACTGGATTTTATACAGTATAGGCATTTATTTTTAAGGTTTTACCTAGATATAATTGCAAAAGGGGCCAGTGAGATGTGATCTAGCAAGACTTCTGACTAAAGTTCCACATTCAGGGCTCGTTTACACCCTATGTGCATGAAAACTGATGGAAAATGAGGTGCAGATCTCACCTGCAGAGACATCAGTTTTCAGGCACGCTTCAATGAGTTTTATACAGGATGCAAATTCCTGCGCAGAAAAAAAATCTGCACGTGATACTAGTGTTGTGGTGTGAACAGGGCACACAGAGAACAAATCATTTAATTGTACTGTTGCAAAACGCATGCAGAAAAACTGATGCCTCTGCACCATGGTGTGAACGAGCCCTAGTGTAGATTTGTAGAGTGAATCTGCAACATGTATAAAATTAATTGTAGCGTGCATGAAAACTGATTTCACTGCAAGTGAAATATGCGCATCAGTTCCCATCAGTTTTAATACACGTACAGTGTGAACGAGCCTTAAGGGCTTGTTTTCACAATATGGTGCAAAGACATCAGTTTTTCTGCATGTGTTCTGCAAGGGCACCATGAAAACAATTGTTTTATATGTGTCCTGTTCACACCACAACACTGGAATCACATGCAGACTTTCTTTGTGTAGGAATCTTATTGATGCACATATGAAAATTGATGTCTCCGCAAGTGAAATCTGTGCGTCAGTTTCCATCAGTTTTTCTGCACGTATGGTGTGATCAAGGCCTCAGGGGTTTAATCAGGTGGTGGGGAGGTGACACCACCTGCTAAATACCCTCTAAAGCAGTGGTTCTTAACCTTGTTGGAGGTACTGAACCCCACCAGTTTCATATGCGCATTCACCGAACCCTTCTTAATTGGAAAAATAAAATATGATTTTTAAAATTCAAAACATAGGTATATATTTATACATAGGTGCACAAAATGAACAAAACCGTTAAAAACAAAGAACAAAACCATTAAAACATGATTTTCACACAAAAACAAAAACATAATAATGAATATTTACTGCACGAATCATATGAGTCGGGTGTGGGTCTTCACCTCTGCCGAACCCGTGAGACTGACTCGCTGAACCCCTGGGGTTCGATCGAACCCAGGTTAAGAACCACTGCTCTAAAGTGTTATCCACCCTGAACACTCTTCAGATGGCACTGGTAATGTAAATGAGCCCTAGCTAAACCTGCAGGAGCCTGCCCATTGTACCCATGATCCACTGATCGTGCTTGCAATGCTTTGCAGGCTCATTTGCAAAAATATTTTTTTTTTCCTGCAAACATGGGTGCATGTATTATGTTGTGGCAAAAGGTGGACTTCACCTTTAAATAAATCCACCTCAATGTGGAGAGGCATGTGACAGGACCAAATGCAGACATTGCTCACTGCTTATTTTAGGCTTCCTTTACCTTTAGCTGCTAAATCAAGACACTGTCCAGACATTAAATTGGAGGATTGAGCTGAACCTTCTGTCAGCCCGCCAGCAGTGATGAGGCTTGCACTCTGAGTGAACAGCAGCCTTGCACTGAAAGTGAGGAAGGGGTGACACCTGGGTCTGCTGTGTCCCCCTATTCCCATCCAAGATGGTGGCAACCAGAAGCTCTCTCAACGCTGTTTCTGCTATTGGAGGGCTTTTCACACATGCTTCGATTAATTAAAATGCTGCATTACTATCTTAATATAAAATACAGATTTGGTATCATCGTCTTTTTTGCTTCTTCAGTATGCTGATGAACACACAAGTGATAAGGAAGTGACTACAGCTGGCAATTCAAATAGAAGTCTACTCTCAGAAGTAATGGATAACAGACTTCCAATAGAACAGCTACTAGCCTCCATCAGCATAAACACACTAACTTACCGGTCCGCTATCACTCCAGCACACTTCCGCAGCTACGTGTCAAACCAAAGCCCTGCTGTAATCACTTCCGGATCACGGGCGTACAGAGGGCCACACATGCGCAGCTCTACTGACCCTCTCCGCCAATCATTAATTCGGTGCGTGTTCGGGTAGCTCCGCCTATCCTAGCCAGTTGTGATCTGGTTCAGTGTTGAGCGTGCTACAGGTGTAATGGAGGGAAGGCTTCTAGAGAGCTGATATGGGTCTATAGGCAGTGTACAAGGGACGCCGTTATAGTAGCTGGCTCAGGGAATATTGGCTGTAGGGTGCTGTGTGCTTCCTATAGCTGGTAGACGTACGAGGTGCATGTGGTGGCGCGTCCACGTGCAGAAGAGGGTCGTGTGTACTGTGATGGAGGGACAAAGCTGCAACTGACACTATATACCAGAAATGTGCTGTTTAGATGGTAGTGTTCAGTGGAGCACTTTGGTTCCTCATACCGTTGCCTCATTTACGGGATGTGGCATCAATGTTGTAGACAGAAATTGTACTTAAAGTGGAGCTCCACCCAAAAGGGGACATTCTGCTTTAAGGACTGTTCCCCATTAAGGATTGGCACCTTTTGGGGGTGGGAGCGGGTCCCCGAATTTGACAGGTACCCACTTCCGGTCTGATCACCTAGGCGATCGGAAACGGAAGGTGTCCTCCCTCCCTGTAGTCTTTTGGGACATGTGACAGGTCCCAGAAGACTACAGGACCATTCATGAAGCGCAGCATTACTCGCTAGAACAACAGAATGGACGAAAAACAGATGGGAACTGATCTGTGTTTGCTTGGGAAAAAAATGTGACTGGACTGATGGAAAAAAAAAACGGCACACCTGTGTCAAAGGGGCCTTAGGGTCCTTTCACACGGGTGTTGTTTTTTTCACCAGTTCAGTCACGCTTTTTTGCAAGAAAAAAATGGTTCAGATCACATCTGTTTTTCATCAGTTCCTCAGTTTACATACTTTTTTTTTTATCAGTGTCAGTTTCCATGTGTTTTTTTTATCGGTGTCAGTTTCTATAAGTTTTTTTTATCGGTCGGTGGCAGTTTACGTGTTTTTTTTTTTATCGGTAGCAGTTTACATGCGTTTTTTTTTATCGGTGGCAGTTTACATGCATTGTTTTTTATCAGTGTCAGTTTACATGCGTTTTTGTATCAGTTTCAGTTTACATGCGTTTTTTGAATCCGTTTGTCAGTTTTTCTTTCGTTTGTCAGTTTTTTGTTTTTGTCTGTTTACATCCGCTTTTTGTCCGTTCTGTTTTTTTTTTTTCAACTGAAGAAAAATAGGGTTTTCTTCTGTTCGAAAAAAGGATGTTAACAGATGCGGAGATTAACAGATGATCATCCGTTTACATTTTCTAGTCCTTAGAAATACATGGGTGTCCGTTTTTCATAAGTAAATGGACAGATGAAAACGGACATACGGAACGCCAGTGTGAAAGGGGCCTTATGCAGAAAACACTACAGTCCATTTAACATGATTTCTTATGGATGAAGTTTACATCTTTGTGTTTTCAACCAGTGCGATTTTTGGAAAGGGGCACGGACTTTCTTAACCCCCCTTAATTATTACCCCCCTTAATTATTATTATACAGTATTTATATAGCGCCAAAGGGTTTGCTCAGCGCTGTACAATAGCAAGGGGGACAGAACATGAGACAATACAGTAACAATACAGTACACGAGGGGTTCGAGGGCCCTGCTCTTTTGAGCTTACAATCTAGGAGGGAGGGGAAGGTGGCACAGGAGGAGATGGCTGTGGGGGGGTGGAGTGGAGGAGGTTAGGTGAGGTTGGGGTAGGCTTCCCTGAAGAGAGGGTTTTCAGGGTGCGCCTGAAGGTGAGGAGGGTAGGTGACAGTCTGATGGATTGGGGTAGGGAGTTCCAGAGGATGGGGGAAGTCCTGCAATCGGGCGTGGGAGGAGGAGACCAGGGAGCTAGAGAGTAGGAGGTCCTGTCAGGAGCGGAGGGTACGGGTAGGGTAGTATCTGGGTATCAGGTCAGTTATGTAGTTCGGGGCGGCATTGTGAACAGCCTTGTAGGTCAGGGTTAACAGCTTGAACTTGATGCGTTGGGCAATCGGGAGCCAGTGAAGGGATTGGCAGAGGAGGGTGGCAGAAGTGGAGCGGTTGGTGAGGTGGATGAGTCTAGCCGCTGAGTTCAGGATAGGCTGGAGTAGGGATAGCGTTTGTTTGGGTAGGCCAGTGAGAAGGGAGTTGCAGTAGTCCAGGCGTGAGAAGATGAGGGAGTGTACGAGTTTAGCAGTGTCTGGGGTGAGGAATGTACGTATCTTGGAGATGTTGCGGAGGTGGAGCCTGCAAGATCTAGATAGCAGTTGGATGTGGGGTAGGAAGG